CACCCCTGTCTCTCCAACTCCAGCACTCCACCCCTCCCTCTTTCCGGCCTTTGTTATTTTTGGGTCTTTAACATCTTTGTTGGCGTATACTTTCACATGCCATGTGATCCCTCTGTTTAAAGTGTGCAGTTGAGTGGGGTTTTTTTGTACATTCACAGATATTTGCAGCCATTCACACAATCCATTTGAGAACATTTTCATCCTCAAGAGGAATCCCCCACCTGTGTTGGTTAGCAGTCGTGCCCCATCCGCCCAACCCCCGATGCTCAGCCCCTGTTACTTGGTGACATGGAATCGCCTCTGACTCAGGGACCCTGTGGGCTAAGAGAACAAACGCCTGCGGGGTCCTGCGCTGTCCTCACAGTCTCTGCTCTGCTGAGCGCGTTCTTGCAGCAGCTGTCTGTTCACTTCGTTAAAGCTTTTCCTCCTCTTCACCAACCACTTGCTCTGTGTGTCTTTTCCCATAGACCAGTAGTCCCTCCTAATCCACTTTCTGTCTCAGTGGATTTGTCTGTTCTAGACATTCCATACAAGTACATGATACAGTATGTGGCTTCATTTAGCAGATAAATTTTGTTTATCAGCTCAGTGGTGGATATCATAAATAATGCTGCCAGGACTGTTGGTGCATACCACTTTTTTGTGGACTTATATTTTCATCCCTCCTGGATCTTAGATAACTCTGTGTGTAGCATCTTAAGGATGCACCATGCTATTTGCAGTTTGACTACATTTTACAACCCCATCAGCAGTGCCTGAGGGTTCCAACTTCTCCACCTCCTCAGCAGCGCTCCCTATTCTCTGGCTTTTTGAGTATAGTCATCCCAGTGGGAGTGAAGTGGAACCTCATTGTGGCTTTGATTTGCATCTGATGACTAATGACATTGAGCATTTTCTCATGTTCCTGTAGCCCTTTGTGTCTTTCTTTTGCCAGCGTTTCTCATTTCGCAGATATTTTCTCTTTTTCTGGAGGTTCTCTGCATTCCCTTGATGTTATCATTTGCAGTACCAAAATTTTTCATGTTGATCAAGTCTAATCCGTTTATTTCTTTTTCTTCTTAGCACTTGTGCTTTTAGCATCATATCCATTGCCACATCTAAAGTCATGAAGACAACCAGAGACAAGAGCGTCAGGATGTTTATGGCGATGGGTTCAACTCTAGAACTGCTTTACCATTCAACAATTTGCGTTCTGTGTGAGTGCTGGGGATCCCCACAAGAACACCATTTCTAGAATCTCCTGTATCTTCTTTAAGCTTTATTCTTGGGGCAAATGCTGTCCTTTTTAATGGTAAATGGTTCATTGTCTCGAGGAGTGGTGCTGGTCAGCCTAGAGACCGGCTACCTGTCTGTCTCTGAGCTTCTCTGGGTCACAAACGCTTGGATCTATCTGACCTGCCTTTCTGTGAGGTTTTAGGATGTTTTTTGGTTTTCTAATTTTTCTTGCTGCTTGGAATATACCCTGATAAATTTCAATTTTAATAAAGTTTTATTGAAAGGGTAAAAAAAAAAAAGTCATGAAGATTTACCCCTGTGTTTTCTTCTGTGTTAGCTTTTGCTTTCAGGGTTTTTTTAATCCATTTTGAGTTCATTTTTGTGCAAGGGAGGGACCCAGCTTTCATTCTCTTGCATGTGGAGATCCAGTTGTCCTATTTGTTGAAAAGACTGTTCTTTCCCCATTGAATGGACTTGGCACCCTTGTCCAAAATCAGTTGACCATGAATGTATGGTTTATTTGTGGACTCTGAGTTCTAGCCCGTTGATCTAATGTCTGTTCTTTTTCCATTCCTGCATTGTCTTGAATACTGCAGCTGTGTGATAGGTTTTAAGACCATAAAGTGCAGGCCCTCTAACTCTGTTCTTCAAGATGGTTTGGGCTCTTCTCAGCACCTGCTCAGTCCCAGTTCAGTCTTTCTGGCACAGTGATTAAGCTTCAGCTGCTAATTGAGCCTTTGGGGGGTTAGATGCAGCTTCAGTAAATATTACAGCCCTGGAAACCCCATGGGGCATTTCTGTTCAGTCCTGTAAGGTCTTGAAGTTGACTGGATTGCATTTAGTTTTTGTTTAGGTTTGCGATTCATACGGAGGTTGAGATCTGCTTTTGACTGTCTATGAACAGGAAGGCTGAGGTTCTGACAGACTGTGCGGACTCTGGATCCGTTCAGAAGGTCGATCATCTTTAACAGTGTTCAGTGTGCCAGGCTATACGCATGGGTATCTTTCCTTTGGTTGAGATATTTGGGAGGGGTCTGCATGCCTTTCACCCACCTCTCCCACCACACTGGCAGCTCACCCTAGTGACATCTCCTGTGGGCCTGGTTTCTTCAGTGAAGAGATGAATGAGAATCCGCATGACCATATGCAGACAAGGGTCTGATGGCCCTTTTCTTCTTGGATATTACCTTAAAAACAGCTCACCTGGATGTGAGAGTCTCCAGGAGGCTAGACGCAACCCTGACTTGGCCACAGGGTTGGTTAAAGGTGAGGGTTGTACAACCAGGAGAAGATAAAATAGATTAATGGGACCTTCTAAAATCCCGATGCACATCCAAAAACTTCTCCAACAAGGTAAAAAGGGAAGCCACTGACTGGGAAAAACATGGTAATGACATGTCAGATAAGGGACTTATATCTAGAATTTATAAAATACTTGAGCACCACAACAAGATAAAGGTAAATAATCCAATAGAAAAATGGGCAAAAAAAAAAGAAAAATGGGCACAGGATATGAACAGACACTTCACCAAAGAAGACATTCAGATGGCCAACAAGCACATGAAGAAATGTTCAAAATTCCTAGCTCTAAGAGAGATGCAAATCAAAACAACTATGAGATATCATCTCACCCCAGTCAGAATAGCAAAATTTAATAGAACAGCAAGCAACAAATGCTGACGAGGTTGTGGAGAAACTGGAACCCTTATTCACTGTTGGTGGGAGTGTAAAATGGTGCAACCACTGTGGAAGGCGGTATGGCACTTTCTCAAAAAGTTGCAAATAGAGATACCATTTGACCCAGCAATTTCACTACTGGGAATATATCCCAAAGAGACCATAACTGACATCCAAGCAGATACATGCACACCCATGTTTATTGCGACTTTGTTCACAATAGCAAGGAGTTGGAAACAACCCAGGTGCCCATCAACAAACGAATGGATAGAGAAGCTGTGGTATATTCACACAATGGAATACTATGCTGCATTGAAAAACAAGGAACTCATGCAATATTATTCAAAATGGGTGATCCTGGAGGACATTATGCTGAGTGAAATATATCAGTCCCAAAAGGACAAATATTGCATGGTGCCACTGTTGTAAAATGGGATTGATATCAGGGTTGGGGTAAGACAGAAAAACTGGATAAATTGTGTATACTGCGCTGAAACAGATGAGGGAGTGAATAATTTAAAGGCAATGTATGATAGGGTATTGTGGTTATCACAAGAGTCCACAATTAAGGTTGCATAGTGGAATGTACTTGGGGCGGTGGGAGGGGTGCGAGGAGATTGTGTACCAGGGAAGGAGTGTTTCTTTTACTTTTGAAAGAGAGGAGCGAACTGGAGGGGGTGAGGGTTTGGGGGGGAGAGAAGTGCAGCAATGAATGAATGGAAATCCAAAATCTCTGTAAATGCTCATTTAAATTATTTGAAAAAAGGAGAAAAAAAAGGTGAGGGTTGCCTGCCACTGGGATGAGGCTTCAGCACAGCATATCTGATTGGAAGCCCTTCTCCTGGTAGAACAAGCTGGTGTGCAAACACCATGGGCTGCAGAGGGGAGGGAAGGGCCCCTGTAGGCACTGGGCCAGCTCAGGCCCCTGAACTCAGCACCCAAACACCTCACAATCCTGTCCCCTTAAAAAGTGGCGCTGTCATACCTAAGCTCCAGCAGTTGCACACGAGGGGGCTTCTCCTTCACCACACAGCCCCCTCCAAGCCCTGCTGGAACCGAGAGGGAAAGGGCAGGCAGAGGGCCAGTCTAGGTGGGTTGGGAATGCGGAGGGCTCACTGAAGACAGGACAGCCTGCTCTGGTGCCCACAGACCCTCAGTGGTACATTGGCTACTGCACCCTACTGCTAATGGAAAGGTTGGAAGTTCAAGCCCAGAAGAAACACCTCAGAAAATGGCTTTCAACTTCTAAAAAGGCAACCACTTGAAATCCCCTGGGGTACAGTTCTATCCTAGCATGGATGGTGTCACCATGATTCAGAATCCTGATTCTGGTTGGAGTCAGTCAGTGGTACAATGTTTAATGTGCTTGGCTGTTAACCCAAAGATTAGAGACCTGAGCTCACCCATAGGAAAAGGGCTGTCAGTCTGCTCTGAAGATTAGCCTTGGCAAGCCCTGTGGTGCACAGGTCTCTGACACTCACCGTGAGACCAGGCAAGCTCAGTAGTCACTGGACACAAAGCCCAGTTGCCTGGACCCATCAATTTCTACCCCCCCACCCCGCCCCATGCCAGCCCAGCTGTCCATCAGGATTAGCACCTGCTGGTGCTCATAAATATTCATGGAAGTTTCTGTCCCCCAGTGTGCAGGGCAGGGGGCTCAGACTGCAGCCCCAGACCCCACTAGGCTGGGGCAGCTCCTACAGGGCACCAGCTGCCTCCCCTGTGGACACAACACAGAGGGAGCCCGAGCAGCTGAGGCCACATGGAGCTGGGCTGGCTGTGGGCACTGTCTGAACCACTCTGCCATGACTGTCAGGCTGCCTGCTGACTGGTGTCAGAGTGACCCGGAGAGTGGGACAGGAATGCCTCAGCCCTCCCTGCACGTCTTGTCCTGGGGTTAGGGGTTTGGCATTCTAGAGTTTCCCATGCCAAGTACCAGTGGGGCACAGGACCTAGGGAGTGTTGGAGAGCTGTGCTGAGGGGACAGAATGCTCAAAGAGGCAAGTCAGAGTGGGTGGATGTGAGGAGACGTACTGGTCCAGGAGGCTCCGGGATGTGGCCATGTGTGGCCCGTGACCCCAGAGTAGAGCTGCTGTCTCTCTCCACAGGCTACAGCATGTTTGCCATTGGCATTGGGACCCTGCTCTTCGGGTACTGGAGCATGATGAAGTGGAACCGAGAACGAAGGTGGGAGCACAGGACATCGGAACATTCACCTGCTGTCTGAAGGCTGCAGGGTGGTCTGTCAGGAGAAGGAGGGCGAGATAGAGGCCCCTGAGTGCCAGCTCAGAGCCAGCAGGCCCATCTCTGAGCAGAGATGGTGGGTTGGCAGGGCTTCTGCCTGGATGGGAGAAGTCACGTGACCAGGCATCACAAACGCAATGCTGTAAAGACTTAAACTGACCTTCCACTCACTCACTGCCCTGGGAGCTGGAACCTGGACGCCTTGCTTACCACAGCGGCTGATGAGTGAAGTGTCCAACACAGCAGCCCCACCTCTCTCCAGTGCCCTCAGGCTCCATGTATGACATCAGGCGGTGGGAATGGACACCTGCCCAGTAGTGACCAGACAGCAGGCCACTGCACTGAGAGGACAGCCTGTGGGGTGGAGGACCCCCAGGGCCTAGAGCACACCAGGCTTGTTCGTCCATGGCAGTCCCGCTCCATCCTGACCCCTGCTCGCCTCCATCTTACCCTTAACACCTGTGGATGCTCCCTCTCCCTTTTCTCAGCACAGGCAGGGTCACTGCAGGGAAGGTAGAAAACTCCAGAAGCACCCCTCGCACACCAGCATGGTGTTCAGGCCTGCACTTAGGGTTGCTTTGAGATGGGGGTGTAGTTTCATAAGACCCGGAGCCTAAGGACCAGCTCTACCTCGTTCACCAGGTCATCAGGCCAGGCTAATTTTAATAGAAAGTTTGGGGGAGTGGAGGGGAAGCATGCACACACCTGTGGGTAGTCCAATGGCTGATGGCATCCCCATTCCACCACAGGCGCCTGCTGATCGAGGACCTGGAGACCCACATTGCGCTGTTGCCGCTGTTACAGGCAGAGGCTGACAGGAGGTAGGGGCTGTACATAGCAGGGGTCTAGCACAAAACGCACCCAGGGGAGCACAGGGAATGCTTTCTGGGGGAAGATATTTTGGTCTCTGGCAGGGCGACAAGGAGATGTTCTCAGAGATAGAGCATTATGGCAGAGGGAACAACATGTACAAACACCAGAAGAGGCAGAGCTGAGAGGGCCTGCAGCAGGGGTGGGATCAGGGGTACATGTCCTGCTCAGCCCTGTCCCCCACTGCACCCCATAGGGTCCTGCAGATGCTTCGGGAGAACCTGGAGGAGGAGGCCATCATCATGAAGGACGTGCCCGACTGGAAGGTATGTCGTGGGGGTTCTGGGATCCAGGGGGGCCCACAGGTGGACACTCCTAAGTAGGCAGGGGGAGTCAGCCACCTCACCCAGGCCTGGGAAGGAGGTACTGCACTCCAGAAACCTGCTCACACCCTGGCACCTACAGGTGGGTGAGTCGATGTACTATACCACGCGCTGGGTGCAACCCGCAGTGGGTGAGCTCTATGGACTGCGGCCAAAGGAGGAGCTTGCCAATGCCTTGTACGGCTTCACATGGTACACATAGGCGCCACCACCATCCCACCCTGTCCTTGGAGGAAAATAAATGATCTAGAAACCAGCCCGAGTCCCTGCTTTTGTCTGCGCCTGTTTGTGGGCTGGATGGGAAGAGGCTCAGTGCTGAAGGTACTGGAGGAGAGGCAGAGTCCAGGGGACCCACTGTCAGAAGTGGGGATGGACCAGGCTGAGTCTCCGACTAGAGGGGACTGAGGGTAGGCCAGAACTCCCAATTCATCCTTGACTTTACTACTTACAACCATTACCCCTCCCAGCCGAGTGCCCTTCCTGCCTCCCAGTGAAATCCTATCCCAGGTTTCTTAAGTCACAGGATAGAGTGATGTATGTCAAGGGCTAAGGGACCCCTTGATCCCAGGCAAGGTTGTCATGGCCTGGAGATGGGGCAGAGGTCTCCTGGACATACCTCCCTTTGAGAGTCACTTTTCCTCCCATACAGCTTCCTTTATGCCAGAAAAGGGTTAACACACACTTGCACACCTCAACCAATGGCTGCACTCAGCGCTTTCGCGGCACCTTCTGGTTGGTGGACCGCACAGGATAGGCGGGAGGAGGTTCCCGCCCCCGCGAATCTGCATTAAAAATGTGGCCCTGGCAGCTGCTCAGTGCATTAACAATCATGAGCGCCGCCAGCCCGGACTCAGACCCAGTTGAGGCTCCCGAGCGGCGCTTCCTGAGGTGAGCGGGGCAGGGGTTCCAGGAAGGGAGGTTGGCCGGAACTGGGGCTGTGGGATCCGGAGTCCATGCCATGGTTCCTGGTGGAGAGAGCTGCCAGTGCCTATCACTCTGGAACACTGTTGCCTAGGAAACTATCCAATACAAGTTCACCTTTTCACCAATAATCCAGTGGCATAACCAGCAGTGTGAGACCTCCTCCATCACCCCTAGCCCTTCCAGGCCCTTAGAGATCCTCAGTCAGACCCATGTCCCTCTTGGTGGTCTGGCAACCATCTCCCTTTGTGGCTTCCGGGACAGAGTTTGGACAAAGGAGTCACTTATAGGATGACAAACTTGGGGGATGGGGCTGGCACCTGTGGTGGTGTCCCTAATCTGTTGTATCCTCTGAGCTAACACAGTGTGGGAGAAGGGCCAGGTTGGGCTGTGGACCTCACTGGAGACCGGAAGGGTCCAGCCACCTCTGCACACTGTCCCTTTGGGGGGGGGCATAATCTAGTGACTGGCGCGTCCTGGCCAGAGCACAATGTCACAGGAACTGTCACTTCACCTAGTGGTAGTGGGGAGTCTGATGTGAGGAGGGGACTTGTGGGGTGCCAGGTAGCGTAGGAGCTGGAACATGGTGATGGAGGAGGAGTGGAGGCGGTGAGGTGGGATACCTAAATGAGGAGCTTGTAGGTGGTGAGGAGCTTGTCACAGGAATGATGCTGGAGGAGGGTTTGAGGCAGGGGGTGATGGAAAAAGATGTTCAGGCATTTAGAAAGCCCCCTGCAGCTCATGTTGTGGAGGCATTTTGGGGCCCGAGACCCACTTAAGTGCCCAGGTACACTGTTGAAGTTGGGGGCAGGAATCACTGCCATCAAGTCGGAACCTACCTCCTAGTTCACTCTCTATGGGTTCTTGGAGGCTGGAAGCCACACAGCAGAAGACTGCCCCTCTTTCTCCTACAGACCCACACTGTGCCACCAGAGCTTCCCAAGAAGTGGTTGGATTTAAGGCGATATAACATGGGTGCCCCAACCTGGGGGCTTTGCCTCTAAAAATCATACCCCTCCTCATGCTTGGGGCCCTTCTGGAAGTAGCTGGAACACCAGGCCCAGCTCCTTCTGGACAAGGTCACTTAGCTTTCAGAGCCTAGGGAACGGGGAGGAAACTTGAGGTGCTGCAGCTACTCTCACTGGGGCTAACAGGAGACAATAGGCACCCTCTTACTAAGCCCCCTCCAAAGTTAAAATCCCATAATAGCTGCATGGGCTGGCCTGCCTGTCCACACCTCCATCCTGGCCCTAATTCCTTTTCATACCCTCAGCTGATCCTCCCTTCCCCCTAGTCTTGGCTCCCAGCCTGGACTGTCCTCTGCCCACCCTGTCCTCATTACCACTCTAATGACCAGTTACACAGGAAGTTTATGTTCCAAGTATCTGCCAGTATCTGAAGCTTTAGGAGGGAAGAGGAGAACAGATGATTCCCACCCTCTTCTTCCTCTCCCCACCTTAATTTGGGGCAGGTATCAGAGGATGAAATGGGAAGTGAAATATTCTCTGCCCACTCAATTCTTCACTATGAAGGTTCCTTGTTGGTTGATCTTTCCCAGGAGCTGACTTGACATTTGACTCCACTCTTTCCCTCTCCTAACCCTTATCCTAAATCAGCCACAGAAAGGTCCAGGTTTCAACCCAAGGCTGCTTGCTGGAGTGACCAGGGCATGTGACTTCCCACTTCCCTCATCTTCAGCCTCCCTTCTGCCCCTTACTCCCACACAGGGCCTCTGACCACAGTTCTTGCCGCCTGTGCTCCTAGCTGCCCCCTCCAGGTGGCCTCCCAAGTTCTCCCTGCAATGTGCTTACCCTCTCCAGCCACCACAAAAGCTGGCCAGAAGACTGTAATCTCCACAGAAGGAATCTCCCCTTCCTTCTGCCAAACCTACGTCATTTCTAGATCTGGCTTTGCTTCTTGCCCCTCAGTCTCTGGACGCTCACGCCTTGAGTCCCTGCTTCCTCACTTGCTTTCTCTGGGAGCCTGGAATGCTCTGAGCTGGCAGCTGCTTTCCCAGCCCTTAATCATTATTCTCGTCACAACTACAGTGTCTGCTGAGGTGGGCCCAGGACACAGAGACATAGAGATGTCCCAAGTCACTCATTGCTCCTAGGCGCTCTGGTTCCAGACATTTCCATTTTTTCTGCCCTTGGAGGGGAGTGAGTGCCAAAGGATCTTACTGCGTGTCCCATGGGCACCTCCCTGGGGAGCTCTCAAACTTCATCCTTTAATATCCTACCTTCCTCAGGTATCCTCAGGGCCAGCCCTCCAAAGTCCTGGCGTTTGCCCAGCTTTTCCCACTCCTTGAAATCCTCCCACTTCCCATCCATCATGTTCCAGTCCCTTCAGGGGGTCCTCTATCATGGGGAACAGAAGGAACTGAGACTCGCTTTGGGGCAAGAGAACCAACATGGGCTGCCATGCCCATTTATGGCCACCAGGGAGAGCCCGCGCTCCAGGCATCAAAGCAAACCTCGGGCTGCTTGCCAAGCTTGCTTTCATTGTTTGTATGGGAGGGAAACTGAGGGAGGACGCTGCATTCAGAGATTGCACCAGCAGGCAGGTCTTGGGGGTGGGGAGGATGGCTGGCCCGGAATATTGGTGGGAGCTGGGTGTCTCTCTCTGCCTCTCCTGTTTCTCCATCTTTCTGTGTCTCTGAGCATCTCTTCCTTATCTCTGTCCCCCAGCACAGCGGAGGCGGCTGCCCTGGAGAGGGAGCTGCTGGAGGATTATCGCTTTGGGCGGCAGCAGCTGGCAGAATTGTGTGGCCATGCCAGTGCTGTGGCCGTGACCAAGGTACCCTGAGAACTAGCTGTGATCCCTGTGGCCAAGACCACTCAGCCCCCAACACTGGCCCCTTTGCTGGAAGCTGTCCAGGCCCTCACTCACAGGGGAAGCAGACTTTCAAGGAGTCCTTGCTTGGTCCACAAGAGGCAGGAACACAAGACCCAGGGGATCCAAGAGGGTCAGGCAGAGGCGAGGAAGCCTAGTGATCAGTTACTGTGCTGGGACCTTCGGGACCAGTAGGCACGGATATCTCCAACAGATGTGATGGCATGGAAGGCGCAGGGGTACTGGCTGCTGTAATTTGAGCACCTCTAAACAACCCTGTGCCTCAGGCAGTGAGCGAGCTGCTTAGGGTCCCTGGCAGTTGGGAAAGAACCTCAATTCCAGCACAGACCCATGAGCCTCTGGGCGGTGTCTGTGAGGTGAGAGAACAATAATAATGGCACTGTGGTGCACTCTACCACGTGGCCAAACTGTTCTGTGCCTCAGTTTCTTGTTGGAAGAGGGATAATGGACAGGTAGTAAGTGTAAATGCCAAATATAATGTGAAAAATAATCTCTATAATGAAAGCTCTTTCTAACCAGGAAAAAAAAGACCACAATACTAAAAAAAAAGAAGTAAATGCCAAATACTTCGGAAGACCCAGAATTTTGTCGAGAATTAAACCCAGAGTATTAAATTCTCCTTGGTGTTTGTTTGGGGCTACCATCCTGATTTCCCTCTTAACGTCCGGCATCCCTTGATGGAGTACAGGATTTGGGGCCACCAGGGGCCTGGCCAGGGTTGCGAGGATGTTCAGGGTGAGTCAGAAAACCTCAAGGAGGAGACTGGAAAGGGGAGTTGTACTCTGTGTAGTCTGGAGTTCAGGTTACCCCCAGAAACCCTGAGGACTCGGGAGATTCACGCCCCTTGTCTGTTCATCATCCATGGCTGCCAGGCCATTAGGCTCTGGTTTGCCAGAAGGAAAACCAGGTCTGGGAGGTGAGGGTATCCAAGGCCACACAGAACAGGGCTGGACAATCCCCACACCAGCAGTCTTAACTCGTAGGTACAGCGCAACACACGCAGTCAAGTCTGAGAGGGAAACAGACACACACAGAGAGGCACCCAAGCATTGCTGAATCAGAAAGTGCCCCTCCCTCCAACTCTGGGGCCTCTGGGGGGGAGGCTGGAAAGACAGTGGGCGGTGGGGGAAGTCCAGTGGTGGAAAAAGGTGGAAGAACATCTGCAACCAGGCAGAGAATAAACAACCACAACTCCTGCGCTGGGCACGAGGCAGGAGGCATATTTTCCTTCGTGGGCTTGACAGAGGCTGAGGCAAGGGTTCTGGGTCTCTCAAGGAGAAGCTGAGACCTGGAAGATCCATCCTCTCTCCCAGAATGCCTCCAGGCCTGAGCTTCTTGTCATCCCTAACCAGGGCCTCAGTTTCCCCACTTAAGAAAGAAGGGTTCTGAGCACTGTGCCTTTGGCTCTCCTGTGCCCCCCTCCAAGGTGTTCCCCTTGACGGCATTCTCCCGGAAACAGAGGACGGTGCTGGTTGTATGTGGTCCGGAGCAGAACGGGGCGGTGGGGCTGGTCTGTGCCCGGCACCTTCGGGTATTCGTGAGTATTCAGGACCCTCAGTCACCTCCACCTGATCCCTGCAGAAAGTTAAAAGTGTTAACTCCTGTTAAAAGTGTCAGGATGGGGTCATAAATGTTCAGATAGATTCCAGAATGTGTCCCCTGTGTCCTGGGTAGGGTCTGCTGCCAGGGACACAGGTCTAAGAAGACCCCAGCGCTGACCACCCTCTTGCCCACTCAGGAGTATGAACCAACCATCTTCTATCCCACTCGGTCAATGGACCAGCTGCACCGGGACCTGACGACCCAGTGTGAAAAGATGGACATCCCCTTCCTGTCATACCTGCCCACAGAGGTCAGCCCTGGAGTGGGGAGATTAAGTGGAGAGGTGGTCACTCTGCCTGGGGTGGGGGCCACCCCATGACTGCCTGTCTTTCTAGGTCCAGCTCATCAATGATGCCTACAGGCTGGTGGTGGATGCTGTGCTGGGCCCTGGCGCAGAGCCGGGTGAGGTTGGGGGCCCATGCACCCGAGCACTGGCCACACTCAAGCTGCTGTCCATTCCCCTCGTGAGCTTGGACATCCCTTCAGGCACGCCATGTCAGGCCTGGGGAGTGTGGGTGGGAGACCCTACACCTCGTCTCCTGATAACCTTGGCTGGTCTGTCCACTCTAAGTCTCAGTTTCCCCAGTGTGGATGAGTGTGTACACCACAGCCCAGGGTCATACCCAACCTATGGATGGGGAAAACTGAGGTTGCCACCCTAGTGACCTGGGCTGCCCCCCATGAGGCCCTGCATGCCCTATGCCCACCCCAAACCAGTCTCCTGGGCAGACGTGAGCTCACACAGTTAATGCCGCACCCGCCCTGGCCGCCGCCCCATGCCTGCTGGAGCCATTAGGTGACAGGCAGACAGAACAAACAGCCGCTGGCCAGCCGGACCCTCTGGAGGGGTGGCCAGGCTCTAAGGGGATGCTCTCAGTTTGAGGGACCCTAGAGCCATCCCAGCAGGGTGCCACATTGCAGAGAGCTCCAGGGGGAGGTGGGGACCCATGTTAGAAAGGGAAGTGTGGGCTGTTGAGTCCAGGGGTGAAGACAAAGGTAAAGGAAGATTACAGTCAGTGGGAGGAGTTAGCTTAGCGACCTAGACTCAGGTCAGAGGTGGAAGAGAAAGCAGGGCTCAGGACAAATGGTGGAGGCTAACCCAGAGGCTGAACTTTATGAGGGGGAGGACTGGCCCTGCCAAGCTGAGAGGAAACAGACTGTAGTCTGACGGAGGCAGGGTATCTCAGGTCTAAGGAGTCTCCAGTCACACGGGGGAGGATGGACGCTCAAAGGGAATGGTGGGGAGGGGGGGGGACGACCATATCCTTTAAAGAACTTGAGACAAAAAAGACAATATTCTGGGGGAGGATGGACTGAGAATGGAAGCAGTTCTGTCCTAGTGGAGGGTGGGGGTCAGACAAGGATGGGGTTTGCCTGAGAAGTCTGAGATGGGGAAGGATTCAGAGTTAATAAAGATGGAAGTCGGGACAGATGCCAGGTCAGAGCCCGAGGGATTCATCTGACTTGGGAAAGGCAGAGGTGAACACTGTGTCGTCCGAGGGCAGAGGCTGGGTCAGATGGGCAGGGAAATAAGGGAGGAGGGGAGCGGGGAAGGCTAGTCTGAAGGCAAAGGTTCAGAAGGAGCCCCTGATGGGGGAGGGCAGCGGCTCGGCGTGGTGGGGATGCCCCCAGTCTGGAAGGAGAGGGTGGCTGCCAGCTCCCCACTCCCCTGGCCCCGCAGGCTGGGACGCAGAGGGCAGTGACGCCGAGGACGGGCTGCGGCCTGACGTGCTGGTGTCGCTGGCGGCGCCCAAGCGCTGCGCCGACCGCTTCTCCGGGCGCCATCACTTCGTGGCCGGCAGGTTCGTGCCCGAGGACGTGCGCCGCAAGTTCGCGCTGCGCCTGCCGGGGTACGCAGGCACCGACTGCGTCGTGGCGCTGTGACCCACACCTGACCTGACTTGAAGCCCCAATAAACAGACATCCACCCTCACCTCGACTCCTTCGCTTTTGTGCGCCGGGGCCGCGGTTCTCCTAACGTCCCCCGGCGCCCCCGGAGGGAGGGATAAGGGTGGAAACAAAGGCGGGCCTTCCTGCCCCCGCCCCCCTAGGTGGGAAGGGAGGGTCCTCTGGGGGGAGGGCTGCAAGCTGGCTCTGAGTCAGCTCCAGATAGAAGGGTAGACGCTGGGAGGAACTTCGATAGAAGAAAGAAGGATAGACTCCGGGAGAGACCTCCTTGGGGAGGATTAGAACCCTTGGAATCACAGTTAGACTCGAGCCAGTATGAAACACTGCCTGAAACGCGAGAATTTGGGCAACTCGAGGCTGAGTAGCCAGGCTGGGTTCAAGAAGGACGTCCCGCATGCAGTTTAGGGACCCCAGTGAAGGAAGAGTGGACACAGGGAGGGACTTCTGTGGCCAAGTAGGTGAATTGGGAATGCAATCCAGGGCAGTGACATAGCGGGACACCCAGAGAGGTTGCCCCCCAGACCGAAGTCCCGCATCGCCAGGGGGCGGGGGCGGGGCGGGGCCTGCGCTCTCGCCCCGCCCCCAAGCTCTGCCCAGAGCATCGGTCAGACCTGGGGGAGACTGGCCCGGGCGCCTGCAGAGCCAGGATCTTCCCTCGGACGCTCGGACCCCACCATGGCGTCACTGCCGCCACTGCTCTGCCTTTGCGTTGCTGCCGCGCACCTGGCGGGGGCCCGAGGTGAGGCACCCCCAGCCCTCTGTCCAAACCCCCCTGGTGGCCTACAGTCCCTCCTCAAGCGAGGACCAAGAGGTCCGTCCACACGCTCTCCTGAGGTCAGGGGCGATAAAGTTGTAGGACCAGCGATGGTGAGGAAGGGACTTCGTGCTTAACCACCTGCGAAAAAAACAGCAGGGATGCAGAGTGTGTACGAATTCCAGGACCTTCCTGAGTCCAGGGACGGCTCAGCCCAGTATTGGAGCCCTGAGTCCACCTAACCCTGTGTCCCCTACCGGAGGGTCAAAATCTCCCCCCCCCTTCTGTCCACTGCTGGGAGAAGAAATTCCGTTTTATGAGGAATTCAGCGGGACGGGGAACAGCCCATTTTCCAGATAGAAGAACGGAGGTCCTTGTGCTTGCTTCGGCAGCGTCCTGAGGGGTTGTATCTGTGGTCACCATGTCATTGTCACTGTCCTGGGTCCTAGAGACCTGAGAAGCCAGGCTAGATTCCAGGACAGACTTTCTATAAGCAGCTTGGGCCCCAAGTGGAGGGATGGCTAGTGCGGATTGTGGACTCAGGAGGGACTTCCCACTGGCCAAATGGATGAAGGGCATATGCAGTCCAGCTGACGATAAAGACACAGTGGACTGAACTCATGGAGGTCGAGCCGGGGTCTCTGGGGACAGAATCAAACATAGTTACCCCACTCCACAGGTCCAGGGCTAAGTGAGAAAGGAGGAAGGGGCTGGGAGAGCCTGGAAGAGGATGGTAACAAGAAAGGCTCTTGGAGGAGGGATACCGTAGTTCCTGCGATCAGCCAGAGCCTCAGTGTTCTTTGCCATGAAATGGGAACAATCACCAAAGACTGTGTACATGTTCCTTCTCTCCCTCCCATTACTCACCCCTTCAGCAGATTCTTTCTCCACTGAGGGGCCCACGGGGACTGCATGGGGGCTCCATGGACGGTCCCTACCTCCTGGTCAACCCTCACCAAGCCTGGAAGACTGGGAAGGTGAGTCAGCCAGGGTCTGAATACCATCTTGCTGGGTTAGCTCCAGGAGTGAGTCAACTGAGGAGGGGGCCAAAGAGTGAAGTGTTCAAGGCCATTCTTTACCCTCATCAGATGTGTCAGCCCATAGAACCAATGCCCCAAATCTAAGTAATGTGGCCACTGAATGAGAAAAACTAGAGCAGGCAGTGACAGGGAGGAGATGAACAATTTGTGTGGTCGTGCAGAAGGGCAGGGACTCCAGAAAGTGGGGTTTCTAGTCTACTAACTGCTCTGGGGGCCGAGAAAGAGCACCGATGGGGGTAACACAAGCAAAAGCTGGGACTGACTTGGAGGCCAGCGGATGGGTCAATCCTCCAGCCCCTGAGGTTTCTAGTCTCTAAGAAAAGGAAGCTTGGGCAGTGAGTGAGGTCCAGCGTCAAGGTGGGGCCACCAAAGCCACAGTCTGCTGTTTATAATCTTCACACCCCAGAGACCCTGCTGAGGACGGCTGATGGAGTCAGACAAAGCTGATGGAGGGGGAGACCATTACAGCTCCAGCTGCCCTCAGGGCTCTGAATTTGGGCAGGGTGTGGGCAGGCTGGACAAGACTGCGCTAAGGGAAGGGGACCAGAGAGCAGATAAGGTCCCTGCCGCTCAAAGGGAGTGGGGGTAGGCAGCAAGCCCCCTGATCTAGAGGCAGGTGGTGGAGGCTACCAGGTTTGTCCAGAATCTCAGCGCGAGCACTGCTTGCAGAGGCCAGCGAGTGGACATCCTGGTTTAACGTGGACCACCCGGGCGGCGACGGCGACTTCGAGAGCCTGGCCGCTATCCGCTTCTATTACGGACCTGCGCGTGTGTGCCCGCAGCCACTGGCACTGGAGGCCCGCACCACAGACTGGGCCCTGCCGGCCACCGTCGGAGAGCGGGTGCACTCGAACCCAACGCGCGGGTTTTGGTGCCTCAACCGTGAACAACCGCGCGGCCGCCGCTGCTCCAACTATCACGTGCGCTTCCGCTGCCCCCTCGGTGAGGGCCGCGCAGGGGGTGGGGTCCGGGAGGTGGGCGTGACAGATGATGGGTTGGGAGGAGCTGGGGAGAGGCCTGGGCTGGAGAGGGGCAAACGTGAACCCGGCTGGGAGGTGCAGGAAGGAGTGCCTTGCCCTTGTGCGCCCCCAAGAACGCAGCTCCCTCTTTGGTCCTCTACCCGCTCTTCCTATGAGGGTGTTGGTTGAGCCGCCTATGTGCGGGGCACAGGGGAGCTGCAAGCCCACCCTGGGGGAGCTTAGCTGGGGTCAGGGAAGTGAGGCAGTACCTGCTGCGCACCTCAGGTTGCTTCTAGAGGTTCAAGGGAACACCCGGGACAAGGCGCAGGTCCAGTTTCTGTACAGTGCTCGGTTCCAGGAACCGTGTTGTCCAGCCTGGCAGTCATCTGATTGCCTTCCCCTTCTTCCCCACAGAGGCTGCGTGGGGCGCATGGGGCCCATGGGGCCCATGCTCCGGGAGCTGTGGGCCTGGTCGTCGTTTGCGTCGCCGCACCTGCGCAGCCGAGGACACGTGTCCGGGACGTCCTCAGGAGGTGCAGAAATGCGTGCTGCCTCGGTGCCCAGGTAGGGAGGGGCGGGGCCTGGGGAGGCGTGGGGTGGGGAATTGAGGGCTGGGGGTGGGGCCTGGGCGGTGAGAGGCGGGGTCTAGAGATGAAAATAAGGTTACACAACTTGGAGGATCGGGTTAGAGGCGGGACTGAGAAGTGGGAGTGGGGCGTGAGGGACCAGTGAGTCTGAGCGCCTGAGCTCTGGGGACCCTTGGAGACCGGTCTCTTCTGCCTGGACTGCAGGGACCCTGGGAAACGCACCTAGAGGATTCTGACATTTTAGGAGGGAGGGGTGTGTGCAGGCATGTCAGCTCTGAGGGCCGCTTCCCTGTGTGCACGGCCCGGCACAGATACTGTGCATGGACACGTCCACGGGCGCGGGGGCCACTCTCCCGGTGCGCACACCCCTGGCTGCAGCCCCGCCCCGCCCCGCCCCACACCCACGCAGACACGCGCTCACCCTGGCAAGGCAGCAAGCTGGCCGGGAGGCGACTGGAAATTCCGCCTAGCCTGTGCTCCATAAACATGGTCTGGCGGTCCCAGGCCTGTGGTGCCTGGTGGGGTGGGGGAGCCCGGTGGCCAATGGGGCGGTGGGGTCTCCACCCCACCCCCGCCTGGCTCTGTCCTCCCCACGCCTCTGCCATGAAGTTTCCAGTGGAATTTTCCATTTTATGAAGAAACCACGGGCTTGGAAGGGGAAGCGAATGTTCAGAGCCTAAGATTAGGCCTCCAGCTGGGCCCCCAGCCCCTTCTGCCTGCCTGGTTTCTTTTCCAATGAAAGGGCTTCTCTGCCCTTCTCAGCCCCTCCCCTCACATGTCCCCTATGGACCCATCTTCCTCTCCTCACCACTCAGCCCATTTCCCACTCACACTAGCAGCCATTCTCAGAGGACACCAAGGGGTCCCGGGTGTGTTTGTTGAGTGACTGACTGAGGGAACAAGCTCTTCCCTGAGCCCTTCTGTCCTGCTGTGCCCCCTCAGGGTGCAAACCCGGCACCTGTGAGTGTCCCGATCACGTCCTTGTGGGTGCAGTGGTCACCCCATCTGGACGACCACTACCAGGAGCCAAGGTCTTCCTGCGAGGCCAGCCACGTATTGTGGCCACCAGTGATGCCCATGGAACCTTCCGGGTGCCCGGTGTGTGTGCTGGCAGCAAGGTCAATGTCAGTGCCCAGGTAGACGGCTTCTCCATAGGTGCAGCCCAGCCTCAGGCCAACAGTACCATCTCAGCTGTGGTCACTGTTGTCCTGGAGAAGTTGGGTAAGTAAAGGGCATGAGTGCTGATTTGGTAGGGAGGGAAATGACAGCAGGAACACAGGGGTGAGGGCTCCTATGGAGGGGGTCAGTCATCCCTGGAAAGAGGGTAAAGTCCAGGGAAGGGGACCCTGAGAGGAATAGGGCCCTAACCTCTGCGCCGCGCCCCCAGAGAAGCCTTACCTGATGAAGCACCCTGAGTCCAGAGTGCGAGAGGCAGGCCAGAATGTGACCTTCTGCTGCAAAGCTGCCGGCACCCCGACACCCAAGAAATACTCCTGGTGAGGCCTGCCCCCTTACTTTGAGGACCTCTGTATGGTCTTGGGGCAGTTTGGACTCTCCATGACACTTGGGTCCCAGAAAGGGGCCACAGCCATGGTTTCCCTATTTGGAAAGGGGTGGGGGGCTTTGCCAGTCTGACTCCCTTTTGTGGATGAAGATATTGACCTTGTTCTTGCTCCCCTCATAGCTGGGGGGGGGGCTTGCTGAAAACTTCTGGCCCGTGCAGAGGGGGTAGGGTGTGCCTTTCCCTTGTACCAGGCCCCCATCTGTTGTCCCCTGCCCCTCAGGTTCCACAATGGGACGCTGCTGGACAGGAGAGAGTTTGGGTATGGGACCCAACTGGAGCTTCGGGGACTGCGCCCAGACCAGGCGGGCACCTACCACTGCAAGGCCTGGAATGACGCAGGTGCCATCCGTTCCGCTACCGCCTCACTCACTGTGCTGGGTAAGCGCCCAATCCCCAGCCGCCTCTGACCCCAGACTGAGCCCTGAGCTCCTGGAGGACCCACTGAGCCTAACCCTGAGCCTCTGGTCCTCGGACTTACCTGCTCTACATCCTAACTTGGGCTTGACCCTAATCCTTGCACTGAGCCTGTAACCCCAGTCCTTCACTTCACTCCTAACCCTTGGCTGACCCTAACTCCCGAGTGGAGTCCTCCACTTGGATAAAAAGTCCTTGTTGTCCTCTCTTCTTCTTAGCCCCAGGCCAGCCAGCCTGTGACCCAAAACCCTTAGAGCACCTAGTCAAGCTCCCAGACGATTGTGGTCAGCTGGACGGCAGCCCTGCCTACCTGAATGTGGGCCGCTGCCCCGACGTGCGCTGCCCTGGCCCTGTGGCCTCCGGTCCCCGGTGTGCGGACTCCAGCTCCCGCTGCTGTTCCGTGTGGCGCCTCAAGAGTCAAAGTGTCCGCTGCTCTGGTTACGTCCTCCCGGTTAAGGTGGTGGCTGAATGCAGCTGCCAGAAGTGCCAGCCCCGACGGGGCCTGGTCCGGGGTCGCGTGGTGGCTGCTGACTCAGGAGAGCCCCTGCATTTTGCCCAGATCCTACTGGGCCAAGATCCTATTGGCTTCACCTCTTACCAGGGTGACTTCACCATTGAAGTGCCGCCGTCTGCTGAGCGCCTGGTGCTGACCTTCCTGGATCCCAGCGGGGAGTTCATGGACACCGTCAGAGTTCTACCCTTTGACCCTCGGGGTACTGGTGTGTACCATGAGATCAAGGCCATGAGGAAGCAGGTTCCTGTCATCTTGGATGCCACTCAAAGCAACAAGATACCACTCGGCGAGCTCCGGGATGAGGTCCCCATGGGCGAGCTTGTTCTGCCTCCAGGGACCTTCCGCCTCACCGATGGCCAACCCTACGTGGGTCCTGTGGAGGCCCGGGTGACCTTTGTGGACCCTCGAGACCTGGCCACTGCATCTGCCGCCCCCAGTGACCTGCGCTTCCTGGACCGAGATGGCGAGCTGGCGCCCCTGCGCACATACGGCATGTTCTCCGTGGACCTCCGAGCTGCGGGCTCCGGGGAGCAGCTGTACGCAGGGCCCGTGACTGTGCGTGTAGCTGCTGAGCAGATCCGCATGGCCGGCCACGCAGAGGCGCTCAGGCTGTGGTCACTGGACCCTAGCACTGGCCTGTGGGAGGAGGAGAGCAGCTTCCGGCGTGAGGTGCCCACAGGGCCCAGGGTGCGTCGGGAGGAGCGGGTCTTCCTGGTGGGTAATGTGGAGATTCGTGAGCGACGCCTATTCAACCTAGACGTGCCTGAGCGGCGCCGCTGCTTTGTCAAGGTGCGAGTCTATGGTAATGACAAGTTCACGCCCAGCGAGCAGGTGGAGGGCGCTGTGGTCACACTGGTCAACCTGGAACCAGCACCTGGTTTCTCAGCCAACCCGCGTGCCTGGGGTCGCTTCGACAGCGCTGTCACTGGTCCCAATGGCGCCTGTCTCCCTGCCTTCTGTGATGAGGTCCGGCCTGATGCCTACACTGCCCTGGTCACAGCCACCCTGGGGGGCGAGGAGCTGGAGCCAGCACCCTCCCGGCCCCGTCCACTCCCAGACTCCGTGGGCGTCACCCAGCCCTACCTGGACAGGCTAGGCTACCGGCGCACTGACCACGAGGACCCTGCCTTCAAGCGAAATGGCTTCCGCATCAACATGGCCAAGCCCAGGCCTGGTGACCCCACTGAGGCCAAAGGACCTGTGTACCCGTGGCGCAGCCTGCGGGAATGCCAGGAGGCCCCCGTGACTGCTAATCACTTCCGCTTTGCCCGCGTGGAGGCCGACAGGTACGAGTACAATGTGGTCCCCTTCCGGGAAGGTGCCCCTGCCTCCTGGACCAGTGACTTCCTGGCCTGGTGGCCCAACCCGCAGGAGTTCCGGGCCTGCTTCCTCAAGGTGCGTATCCAGGGCCCCCAGGAGTACATGGTGCGCGCGCACAGTGCAGGGGGCAGCCACCCCCGCACCCAGGGCCAGCTCTACGGGCTGCGGGATGCCCGCAGCGTCCGCGACCCCCAGCTGTCTGACACATCTGCCGCCTGCGTGGAGTTCAAGTGCAGCGGGATGCTGTTCGACCAGCAGCAGGCAGACAGGACGCTGGTGACCATCATGCCACAAGGCAGCTGCCGCCGCACGGCCATCAACACGCTACTTCGGGACTACCTGGCCAGGCACCCCCCATCTGCTCCGGCCGATGACCCTGCCGCGTTTGCCATGCTGGCCCCGCAAGACCCCCTGGGTCACAACTATGGTGTCTACACAGTCACTGACCAGAGCCCGAGACTGGCTAAGGAGATTGCCATTGGCCGCTGCTTTGATGGCTCCTCCGACGGCTTCTCACGAGAGATGAAGGCTGATGCGGGAACTGCCGTCACCTTCCAGTGCCAGGAACCCCCAGCCGACCGGCCCAGCCTCTTCCAGCGGCTGCTGGAGTCACCGGCAGCGGCCCTGGGTGACATCCGTCGGGAGATGAGTGAGGTGTCCCAAGCCCAGGCTCGTGCTGCTGCGTCCCTCCGAACCCGCCGGGGCAGGGCCTAGCCAGTGACCTTGACCAAGCCTGCAGCCTCCCTGCCCACCCCCACCTGCCAGACTCCTCCTTTCCCAGGAAGTCCTACCTTCCCTGCAAAGCCCCCTCCCCAGGCGTCTCCCAGGCGCCTTCCTTTCCCCTGTCCCCTACCCAGAATTTAGAGTCTGCCATTTAAGGAAAGAACTCGGGCCTATTTGTGGGCTCTGCTGGGGGAACCAGAAGATCAAGAGGGGAGTTTGCCCCAAACCAACTGGAAATGGTGGCTCCCAGCTGGTGCCATCCCCAATGCCAATGCTGATTTTGACCCTGGTTTCAGATATTTGGCCCCTGTTGTTCAAAGGAAGGCCTTGAATTTCCCTTCTGGGAAAGCGGCCCCTTCTGCCTGCTGAGCTCAACGCTTTACTGGGGTTCCTGCCTCAAGCGCTGTCCTTGGGGTTATTTATTGAGACTAGCCTGTGAGGCTGGTCTCGGTGTGGGTGGAGGTCTGGGGTTGAGGGTCCCAGGGGAGGTGCAGGTGCCCAGACAGGGGGGCACAGCCCTCACACAGTTGGTGCTTGGAGACCCCAGGTTGGGGCAGGTGCTTGGTGCTCAATTAAAATCGCTTTATTTCCAACCTGGCGTCTTGGACTCTGGGGTCACAGGTGCCTTTTACACGCATTCACACGCCTGAGACAAACACACATGTGTGGGTAGCTCAGCATTCCCAAGCAACAGATGCAGGTCCAGGCCACGTGCATACAGAGACCCACGTGATCATATTTCCCTGACCCCGTGAGTACACCCCTCTCTGACTCTGTCCTGGTCTTGACTTGGGTCTGGACAACGGTTCCTGAAGCTGAGTGCCTGGGGCTGTAACAGGCAGGGCAGGGTCCTGGCAGGGTTACGCCTAGGCCAGCCTGGGCAGATGTGGCCGCCCTAAACTTCCCCAGCTTGACCTCAGCTGTCCCACTCTCCCCACATTCCCCCCGCTTCTGATCCCAGCCTCATTTCAACCATGAGGACCCTCAGCCCAGGGAGGCAGGGCCAGGCATGGCCATGACTGCTGTTCACTATGCGTGCAGTGTGAAGTGGGTGCTATTCTGACTGCAGCCCCATTGGGCCAAGAAACAGACCTGGAAGGACAGGCCGAGGGCTGCCCGGGTCCTGGCACTCTGAACTTCCTGATCCCCACCAAGCCCATGAGAGAATCACTGAGGTCTGAAGGGGAGGCCTAGGATGGGAGAGGTCTGTGCAAGACTTGATCTGTCCAGCCTCCAACACACTCACCCACCACCCCTGCATTCTACTGTTTACTCCTCAGGCTCTGCCTGCCATCTGTCCATCCATAACTTCCAAGTAAGTGTCCATCTGTGCTGGCACCTGGATGCCTGGGAGAATTTGGCCTGGGACAGATAGATTAACGTGCAGACGCCCATATGGTCAGCATTCAACTCATATGAGCTCCCCATCTTCTTCACCTCCTCCCATCTGCCTCCACACCCTCAGCACCACCTCTGCCCAGGTCATGGCCCCCCATTCTCTCTGTTCTAAAGGCAATGCCAAGACCTGGCCCCAGAGGTGAAGTTGCTAGTGAGAGTCCTATGGGCACCAGCTTGGGCTCTTTAGGAGTTAAACTTTGGGGAGCCCCAGGTCCCCAGCTGCACCCTGTTGAGGTTGTGACATTTGGAGGGAGGCAAGATGTTTATCTAGAACTTACCGTGCACTTTCCAACAACACACACCCCAGCCTGAACAGCTCCAAGGGAGAAGCCGCTGGTTGGTGATGACACAGACTGGACCTGTTTGTCCCCAGAACCCAGCTCAGGACTTCCTGAAGGGTCCTGGGGAATGGCAGTGTGGGGGCAGGGCCTGGGCTGGCCGGAGTCCCCAGTTCTGCAGTGATGAGGTGTCAGGCTGTAAGGCCAAATACCTTTCATTGAGAAAGTGCTGGGGCTGTCACTTCTGCCAGGCTGTGTACAGCCAGTTTGGAGTTTGTAGGCTCAGCTCTGGTCCTTCTTCCCTGATTTCCTAAAGGGAGGTGCCAATCTGGCCACCATGACTGGACTAGAAATGAACAGGGATCCCCAGAAAAAGACTTGGGAAGTGATGGAAGCAGAGGTGCAGGCTAAGAAAGTCTTGGCACAATGCCCAGAACTGACAACTCGGCCCCCTCCTCACCCTCAGCTGCAGATTCTCCAAGAAGGCAGAATTTGGCCCTAATTTCCTGATGAGGAAACTGAGGCTCCCAGAAAGGAAGCCAAGAACTTCCAGCCTGTTTGCCTCCCTCTGGCTTTGTCCCGCATCACAGCCATGACCAGCCCTTCCTCCTGGAACAAGGGCTGATCTGCCTCCTGGTAAATCCATTCTCCCTGCCCCCCACAGCTGGGACTGCCAGCCCTCACCCCCTCAGTGTGGGAAGGAATTGGGGGCTGTGTAGCTCAAGACCCTGGCTCCAGCCACCCAAGGGTCAGCCCAGGGCACAGGAGGCCTTTTGTCTGCCCACGGTATTTTAGACTTTTATAATTTTAGTAACCAGGGGTTCTTAAAATTACTAGCACTGCAAGGCAGTGGTGGGAGGGGGGGTTTTGGAAATACAAAATGCTTAGAACAAGAGAGTCTTAAAGTCTCAGAATTCATGGGGAAGACAGTAAAATCAAGCATACAGTGAGTGCTGACTGGATTCAAGCCCCACTCCAAGGTCTAATTCATTTTAAGGGCATTTAATGTATATTGTCTTAGAACCCCAAGAAATGCTTTCAGGGAAGATAGCCACTTTCATCATATCACATCCTATCCTATCCTATCCTATCCTATCCTATCCTATCCTATCCTATCCTATACTATCCTATCCTATCCTATCCTATCCTATGATATATCATATATCATAAAGACAAGAAGGAATTCAAGGCAACAGGAAAGGCTTATGAGAACATGAAGAATAGCAGCAGAGGCTTTTCAATGCTGAGTGAGACACCTTAATTCTCTGGAGAACAATAGTGAGCCATAGAAGGTGCTGGAGCAAGGGAGTATTACACAGTTTCTCATAATAAAGACTTTCTTGGGATTGTGTGGGGTTGAGTTTAGGAAGTGTTTCTTTTCTGGAACCACGGTCTGCTTCTTCCTGAAAAAGAAAAGATGCGGCAGCCTATGTGGGGTTCAAGTCCAGTGGCCCAACCCCTGCTCCCCAGCTATCTCAGGTGCTGGCTGAACACCCCTGGCTTCTCCATTGGGACCTCGTGGACCTGGCGTGGCCACCCACCACTTCCCTGTGCCTGTCTGTCTCTCTCATTAGCCCTCCGGGTTGAGTATGACCCAGTCTCAGACCCCAAAGCCTGGAGCCAGCCTGGCGGGGAGACCTGGCTGGGGTCAGGGTGGGGGGATGTGAGTTTTAATGGTGGAAACAAAAGTAGGGGTGGGGACCAGCAGGGACAGAGGAGCCTGGGTGAAGGCTGATGTCCTGCCGCTGCCTGACCTCTCCCAGGGCATGAGCTGAACGGGGAGGGAGTCAATCGAAGTGCCAGTTTCTCAAGGGAAGAGGCTCTGACCCCAGACACTGGGGAGGAGAGACTGACTTTGGAGGTGGATGCAGGAAAACAGGCATCACAGACCCAGATTTGCAGCCCTCGCCCTGCTCCTAGCTCCTGGTCATGGTCACGCCCTGCCCTGTGTCTCCACTGTCATCATTCCATTCCACCTTCACCCTCAGTCACCCCAGGGCATGCACAGTCATGCATACTGGACCAAGCCCTGCTCTAGGGTCACGTGGCAGCGTGCTCACTCACTGTGGAGCAGATACACCACAGTGGCTAGATGTGGGACAGCCTGCAGTCAGGCCCAGGGTCACCTTCCCACCCCTGCCCCAGGCACACTGGGCCACTGCCACGACTAGGGGCTGTTCCCACCCTCTGGGGGCCCCAGGATGGGAGGGTTCAGGGTCCCAGCTGCTTTTCCAGAACATTTAGAATAATCCCTTCCTACTGACGCAGCCCAGGGCCAGGCCACCCGACAATGCCAAACCTCAGGTATGTCCTCAAAGGTTGTCTGGTGGGTCTGGACCAAGGCAGGAGCTGGAACCCCACCCTTCTCTGGGCCCCAGATGGAGCTGGAGCTTTAATGGTACACTCCAGGGCATGGTGCCAGCACGGTGGAGGCAGAAGCCTGTTCCTCACCGCAGCTCTTTCTGGATCAGGGCTGGACAAGCAGGACATCCCAGGCTGATAGCAAGTAGGATTTTGTCTAACTGTGTCACTTCAGAATTCTCCTGGATAAAAAGTGAATTCTAAAACTGACACTTGACTGCTAGAGATCTGATGCTTTGTTAGCAAACTCCTATTCACCCTTCAAAGCCCATTCCAAATACCCACTCTTCCAGAAAGCCTTCTTTGGCTCTTTCTCTGAGCTTTCGAAGGACCTGGTTTAATCCATGATGCCAGCCTAGAAGACACCTCTGCCTGGGACAGTCTGAGAGGAACTAGCTTGGGTATCCATCCTGGCACCTGGCACAGGGACCATACACACACAGAGATGGGTTGTTGTTGTTGTTATGTGCCGTCAAGTCGTTTGCGACTCATAGCGACCCTATGTACAACAGCCCTAAACCATGCTCTATCCTGTGCCAATCTCATTGCCTCTGACACACCCATCCCGATTACCCCAGTCACTGAATCAATCCACCTCGTAGAGGGCCTTCCCCTCCTGTGCTGTCCCTCTACTCTACCCAGCATGATGTCCGTCTCTAAAGACCTGTCTCTCCTTACAACATGTCCAAAGTATGTCAG